ACATATCCAGCGTCTGTCTCACCCGATGCTCTTTGTGGCAGGATGGTATGATCAAAATGTCCTAAGCTTACTCTTGACTGTTCCTGAGCAGTTTGCCAATATGGGGAATATTCCTGTTCTAGGATTCTTTCCTTAGGCATTGAATTAAGCTGTCCTCCCTGCGGAGTGCTTCGGTTTGCATCCAAAGGTTGGGAGGGGCTGCACGGCGAGTAGCAGTGAGTTCTCACTGCCGAATCTCTAGCCATACATCCACCTCGATAAAAATCATATCCTTGTCCCAAATAAGCATGCTTAAAAGGTTGCCCCATCCTGATTGCAACATGACTTCTTCCCTACTCTTTGCTGCTTGAATTGCCGAAGCCGTGAAGCCATCTACAGGGTACCAGTCTGGAAAAGGATTTTCTGCTTCTTCTCCTGCATAATTCTGGTCTCCCTCTGTATTAATTGCAAACTGGCCTCGTCCTGGTTCTGGAACCGGTCTAACTGGGCCTATGTTAGGAGGTGCCTGAGGGTCATAATATTTCATCTGTACTGGACGGCTTTTCTTATTTAGTCCTCTAATGCCATAAACTATAGGATTTGTCTCATCTCCTTTTTCTGCTCTCTGGGGTTGCTGCTCTACATTTTCTCTGTTCTCATCTTGCTCATGGGCTGTAACTGGGGATAACCAACTCACTTTTTCAGGTGTTTTGCTTCCAGGGATCCGAGTGCTGCATTTTTGTTGGGATCCGCATTCTGACCTGAGCGTCCCTTTGGGTGTGCCACGCACCACCAATTGGGAACCCTGTTCTTCCTCCGATTCAGCTTCACTCTCACTGCTTCTGTCTCTGGCCTCAAACCAATGTTTGACTTTCTTCTCTACTCGCGGCAAGGCTGATTTATCCACTAAAATTACAACCGGAATGTCTCCTAGCCTGCTAGAGGCTTCGGAATAAATCACCAAACCTGCACCATATGCTTCAGTTATCCGACACACCTGGGGTTTGTTATTAAGCTTAAACACTAGCCGTCGCGCCCCTAAATCCAAGGCTTCTGACACCACGCGCTCCCAAGCTTGGTGAAAAGAGATGTCGGGATTATGAGGGTCTACGTTAATTATGGAAATTGTGCTGACACGACCTTCCAGATTCCCTAATTGCTTGTCTAAGAGAGTAGTAATTTCTCCAGCTTCGTAGTTACGATCTACCAGCGGGATCATAGAGCTTCTGCTTTCTGCCCCTAAAAGTCTCCTCAGAGAACTTAAAGAGGACGTGGTACCGGCAGAACTTTGTGGATCTTTCAGAAAGATCAACACATCTTCCTCTCGGATCTCCGCATCTATTTTCTCGCCTGATAAAATTATCACCGGTTCTTGACCTATCATAACATGATTCGGAGGAGCCGCGGGACTATGCGGTTCTAACGGGGGAAAAGGAATTGGGTTTGGAGTCCTTTCAGCCCCTGACCGTCTCTGAGTCTCGTCTTTCTCCCATGTAGCAACATGCTGTTCAGTGGGCGATCTCTCCGCTCCTCTCATCGGCACCTGAGAAGGGGTTTGTACATGTAGAAACGGGTTCCACTGCGCCGGCCGAACCGCGTCAGGCGGGTTCGGTGGGGGTGGAGGAAATCCGCTCTCGGAACCGGGGCTCACAGGGAATTCCCCGCGGAGCGCTGGATACAAAGGGGGCGCGGTCGGAACCGATTGGACTTCATCCCAGGAGGCCGACATTTCGACTGCAGCTCTTCTCCGATACATTTCCGCTTGGAGCTCCGTGATCCCCAGTCGGTTACATAACGCCTGTCTCATTTGAATTGCCTCATTTTTGCTTCTAGATAAGAAGTAAATTGTTCTATCATTAGCCTGTTGAACCACGAACTCCGCCATAGCAGAGTACATCGCTCCCGGATCACATCGGTACTGCCCGACTCCAAATGGAGTGAGAACTAAAGGTTCCGGTCCGGTTGGTATTTGCTCAAGCAATCCCAGAAGGATCTCATATTGCTCGCCCGTGGGGAGTTTCGCTGGATTTTCCCAACAACACCACGCTATCTGATTAAAAACAGGATCATTTTGTTGTTCTGCTAGAATCACTAAATCACCCACTAACGGAAATACATGATTATTTTTTACTTGAGTTTCAGCATTCGGACAGCGCTCCGCTGCGGCTTGAGCTGTGCCGGCCTCGTTCTGAAAGCTCCGGTTACAGGATACTGCCAAAACGCTTTGTGGTTCACCTTGAAATGTCGCTATTTCTCCGGTGACAAATCTCACATTAAGGAGAACATTTTCCGGTTTTACCGTTAAAGATCTATCTGCCATGGCTGGTTGAAAGTTTCTCTTTTTTATTATTTATTTTATTTTTATTCGTTTTCACATCTTATTCTTTATTCTTACTCTTTATTCCTTTTTATTTTTTGCCTAGCTTTTATCCTTGGCTTTTCTTACGTCGGAAAGCCGTGATTTCTTTATACCTCTTTGAGTTAATCGTCCGTTCTCCCAAATTTCTTTCCTTTTCGAGAAATTGGTGCGGTTTTCACTCCAAGGTTATAAGCTTAACCGGTCCATGGTGCGTAAGCTTTTATCAGCCTAAAAGACATAGTTCTACGTCGGATAGTCCGGTATCTAATATTTGAACCTTCGCTCATCAGCCCCACGTTGCAGGCGCCATGTCGCGTGCCCGTCCCATTTACCGGTTCCTTTAAAACCCAGTTCCGTTAGAACTTATGAGACGGTGCATCTATCAGGGTTCAAGTGGGGGTGTCGGCGAGTTTAATCGTATTAAATCCGGGTTTGGACCACCTAATTAGAATCTTGTCTTTTATTTTAAAGGTGAAATGACTTGTACGAATAGCCAGCCTCAGAGTACTCCACTTCTTTTAAACTCGTTACCTTTTGGTTAAGATACTAGAGAGAAGTCTGGAGGCAAGCCACGCCTCTCAGCCATTTTTTGGGTTATCTGGAATTAATTGCGCCTCTAACAGCTTATGTGGGAGGTTGGTAACTATAAAATGATTTATGCTAGTTGATCAGGCTATCATAAGTTTATCAATTTATTTATTAATCCAACCTTCCAGCTGTTAGAGACTTTTTCAACCTGCAATCAGAGCCAAAATAACCTCTAATAATCTGTTTTTATCGCCCTTAAGACAACTCGTTACTCGCAAGGAGGGGGAAGTTAAAACTCCCCTTATCTTAAGGTTTCTTTATATCATTCTGTTACAAACTGCAAAGTAAGTCCTGATAATTCAGAGACCTGTGATCGACAAGCTTACCTCTGTGCAATTTATGGCCAGGGCCCCAAACGTGAAGCTTTAGAGAAAACCTGAAAGAATCAGGATTATGTTTCTTTTTCAAAAAAGGTTTATTACAAAATCAAAATACAAAAATGGGTAAATAAAAAACAACTGCTATCCCCCACGGAGGAATTAGTTCAAAATGATTAAATAAGAGTTAGTTTACACTAGCTCCTGTCTTCTCAGAATCTCCCCAAAACAGCTCCCAAGTCTCCCAGCCCGATCTGAGCTGCATCCTTTTATATCATTCCTGAGACTGCTCTAAACAATGAAAGAGTCACAAGTCATTCTCTCCTGACAGTTTAGGTCAAGGGGTCATTTACCAAATACACTTTTTTAGCTCTACATAAGGCATTTGGTATCATTTTCACTACATGCAGTATTCACATGAGGGCACAAAAGTTCATGTTGCACTCCTGGAAAGGGAGCACAGGCCATAAATCTTCATGTTGGTAGCAAATTGTAGATCTCCCTTCAGCATTCCTGAGAACTTCTGGGTCCAGATGGACTGTCCTCACTCCATTCCAGTCCTTCTTTTCCCGCCAGAGGTGGAGTTAGGGGCAGGATCATGGGTGTGTCCATGGGTGGATCCACAGAAGCCAGCCTGTCTTTTGACCCTTTGCCTAGTTCTGTCCTCACCAGCAAGTCCTGAACTATTGTCCTCTTGACCCTTGTGTGACCCTTGTCTCTGACCACTGTTTCTAAGCCTTGACCGGCTGCTGGGACTTGCAACAATACTACTGGGATTGTTAACCCTCTGGTGGTTCAAAGGTCATGACTTCACCCCAAAAGATGAATCAAAAAAGGGGATTGTACCAGAACGGCACAGAAAATCTGACAATTTGTAAAACAAAAGAAAGAAAAGTCAAATGCAACTAAATATTAACAATGATTTTAAAAGCTTAATAAACATGTTGCCCACATACTCAAAAATACTAAAGAGAAAAAACAATCTCGCTGTTTGGAAACAAAACAAGCTAATTTCTGTTTTGTTGGAAACATTTTGTTTTTCATGTAAAAAGTAAAAACAGTCTAATAAAATGTGTAATATAAAGTAATACTTTCCTTTTATTTGTGTTTAACGGGGAACCAAACTTTTCCTAAAAGACTTCACTAAACATTTACAGGTCTTTTTATAGAGAAAAGCAGTAAAATGTTCATTGTGACTTAGAAGATAGTATTAATGCCCCCTGAAATCAAAGGGTTTGGTATAATTTTCATGCCTCATTTAGAAACAAAGTAAGAAACCACAACTGATAAAACAGCAATGGCATTTTTTATTTTTTATTTTTTTCAATTTCTTCTCAATGTCAAGTGTCAGGATTTATGCCCAAGAAATCCAAAATAGTGTTTTATAAACCCCGATTTAGTTTGTCATCGTCGAATCACGTCTGATAATAGTCCGGTAATTAAATTTATTGTATCAGAATATTTGAGATGTTTTTCCTTTTAAAATTAACAGGATGTCACAGACAGGAGGCGTGGGAGTTCTTTGAAGAAACTGAATTATTTAAGACAGTGGTCCATTTTTTCTTGTTTTCCTGCCACTAGAGGGAGACATCCCTCACCCTACAGCCCACAGAGCTCGTAGTCATCACTTCAGATGCATCTCAGAGAAAATATCCACTCTGTACTTCAAATATAGAAGCAATTATCTAATTATTAGTAATATGATGCAGATAATCAACATGATATATAAAAAATAATCAGCTGTTGATAAAATCACAAACATTTATAACATCATTTATTGAAAGCCTTAAAAAGATCACAAATCATTTTCTTGCATTTTCATTTATAACGTGTTTACATATATGATTGTTTTCATGTGGATAGAACCTCTAATTCCAGATAAATTCATGTCCCAGCTCGATCAAATGGCGTGCTTGCGTTTGCTTCTCCATACTGTGCTAATAGAGGAAATCTGCAGCTTCTTGCCCTCTCTCACGAGAGTCTGTCCTTATGCACCGATGTGCTCGGTTGTGATTAAGATGTGTGAGGACTTCTGGCATTAATACAACAGGAGAGGGAGTGGCGTCCCACGGGAGAAGACGGGTTTTCATATCCATTACTTCTCTACTCCATTTCCTCACTCAGGGCAGGAACCAAATGGATGCATTAATAACCCTCTCCGAAGCTAATGGTGCCTTGAGTGCTGATTAAGGCTGGGAATTTGGGCGTGGAGGAGGAGTTTTGATTTCAACCCCCCGCTGACTGTTGTGGTGAACTAGCTGAAGGTTGGGGAGGTCCAACGGGCAAAAACATTCAGTTAGATGAGTTTCCCCTCTCTGATCCTTCTGAAATAACCTCAGCCAAAACCCAGTTCCAGTTTGGCGGGTTCTGTCTGAGCAGCAGCTTCACGAGGAACACACAGCTGTGGTTTCAAAAGCTTGTTTAGTTACATTCAGCGTGTCCTTCATGCATACATGTGCAAATCAAGGCCAAAAACCAAACTCATGACATTTGATAATAAAAACATGTCTGCCTGGTGCAGTTCCCAAACATTTCCTTCTGAAATGTGCAGAGAAACACATTTTTATTCCACAAAAGACCGGAGTTACTAGCATCCAGTCTGCAGGGAAGCCATCGGTCCTTCCAGAAAACCACACATCCTGAGCTCTTGGTGCTTCACCACGACCTGCCAGTTCACCCTTATAAACCTGGAGTCCTTGTCCTGACCCAAAGACATCGACGTAATCACAGGATGTCCGGTTTAACCAGGTTCAGCTCCTCCTCGGACACGGTGAGGTTCCCCATGTACCAGAAGATCCACAGAACCAGGCTGATGAAGATGAGCAGAGGTCCAGAGAAAACAAAAAAGTCCCAGTACCTCAACGATGAAAAGACCCCGATGAAAAACAGGATGAGGCCCAAGATGTCCAAAATAATGGCAAGGGACAGGAAGAAGATGGAACACTTCCCTTGCTCCATGTCTGGACGAGATGAGAGGACCCACTGAGACAGCCAGGTGAGAAGTTCCTGATAAGAGTACCAGCGGAGATGACCTGGGGAGGGAACCAGGTGAGGCGGCCAGGTATAAAGTCCAAGTGGACTCCGGCTGATGGTCTGACGAGACTGAGAGCGAGTCTCTTCCCTGTTTTAAGCAGCATTCTCATTCACACCTTAGATCCTTCTCAGAGCTCCTGACGGGGCGGTTAAACTGGAATCGGGCTGACTGGCTCCATCTGATAGACCAACTTCATTCCTTTGCATGTCCAACTGGTTTTACATCAGTGTGACCCGACGACACGTCAGCACCCACATTCCTGAGCAAGTGTTGAACCACCAGCTGCAGCGGAGTTTGTGATCACTATTAACCTGAACATTAAACTTTGACCTTCAGGTCAAGCACTTCCACATTTTAATCCCCACTTATTGAACTTAAGCAAAACAAGTACTAATAAAAGGAAAAACTGAAAGAATGTTAAAATTAAAAGGACATCATTTCCATACAATATTAACCTCATCACTACCTTACATTGCATGTGTTGACATGAATAGGTAGAATTTCACTCTAGTAAAGAAACCATCATTATTTTATTAGACATTTTTGTTCAAATATTTAACGGATCACTTTTAATGCATCTCAACAACAACAACAGGTAACAAAGAGGACAGGTAAAGGAAACTTCTCCACTTGTTTGACCAGTCAGACCACCTCTATTGAGCTCTCCTGCTCCAGCGTCGACGTCCTGCCCGGCCTTCTGCCACAGCGAGCGTACGCAGCAGAGAGACATGAGCTTTTATTTACTGTAACGTTGTTCTGAGGGTGACTAAAGGGAGGCAAGCCAACTGTCCCATAAATAACTAGGCTTGTGTTTGCACGAGGCGTGTCCGTCAAATCTGCAGAAGTTTCCATTTACCGGCATCATGAACGTTCCTTACAGCGGGTGGATCATTTCATCTCGACAAAACAGTCAAAACAGCCTCATGTAGTGGCTTTGCTTTTTGTGGGGAATGTTTAAATTTGTTTAAGCAAAACTACACCGGGAGGTCAAACCAGTCAGACGAGTATTTCTGTTGGCCTGATGGAAAAACAAACAGAAAACACGAGGAGCATTTTCTTTGTGTAGCAGCAACACGTCTACGGAAATGAACGCAACAAAGGATGTTCTTAAAATCTGTAAGAAATGCCCAAAGGCTTCTTATTTACCTGATTATACAGGAATTTAGACTATTTTACCATTTTTAACATTAAAAAGCATAACACTTAGTAAACTAACATTAAACAGAGCTAAAAAGATACATCGTTTTATTAGAGATGCACCAAGGAAATCAGCAGGTGACTGGAACTGGCCAATTTTGGTGTTCAGATCTTTCTAATTTTTATTTCAATCCATAGAAGGCACAGTTACTAAGTGCTAATCCAAGTCTTTTAAATTCTATAATAACAATAATCAAGTCAGTCAAAATTAGATAATGAACAAAAATCTGTTTTAATTTCATTTAGATGAATCAGAATTGGCAAAAGTTGGTCTCAAAAGGCCAGAGATGGACAAAAACCACCGATCGGTGCCGACCCTTATGACCAGCATTGGTGCATCTCTACATCTCCTTGTTAGTTTTAAAGGCATTTCCTAAGAATCTGTCAAAACTGATTAGTTTTCTGCAGCCAAATGGTTTTCACATGGAATGATAGTGATGAATATTTTAATAGAAATGTCATCAGGACATGTTTAAGAAACAGCAGCTAGTGGAACTTAATGGTGCGTGAATGCAAGTGCAGTTTTAGCGTTTTAAAGCAATTAGCTGAAGTTAAATATTAATAAAAAATAGTCATTGACGAACATAGAAAAATAAATATTTTCGCACACGTTTCTCATTACAGCATCATCTGTGTGTGTGTGTGCGCGCGCGCGTGCGTGTGTGCGTGTTCGGAATATACAGTTAGATGGTGTCGAACTTCTTCTCGGGATCTGACTCCATGGAGTTGTCATAGCCTTGGTTGTAGTAAGTGGTGGACTTGCCCCACGTCACTCTGCCGGGTTTGGGTGGAGGCGTCCCCACCTGGGTGCCGTCCTCCCCGCCGATGCATTTCACGCCGTCTTCTCCTTTCAGCTTCTGGCTCAACTTCTCGGATAATTTCCTGGCCAGCTGTACGAAGCTGTTCCTCCTCTTCTCCCCGTCGTATTCCTCCACCCGGATGTTGCCCAGGTACCACATGAGCCAGCAGATGAGGCTGAAGAAGATGATCAGGGACCCGGAGTAGATCAAGAAGTCTCCGTAGAAGAGGCCGTGGAGCCGCAGATTGGCAAAGATCCCGACGAACAGCACGACCAGACCGACGACATCAAACGCGACAGCGATCAGAAACATCGGGAGACAACTTCCGATGTACCGGACGTAGCTCAGAGCCATGGTGGGAACCGCAACCTCCTCACACCGGGGTAACGGCAGGATATCTCATCACCTGTACACCTGAGCCGAGGCTGCGCACCTGGAGGGACACGCCCCTAATCACCTCAGGATGCACCACACACACACACACACACACACACACACACACACACACACACACACACACACACACACACACACACACACACACACACACACACACCAGGATGCCAACAGGAGCAGCTGTTTAACATCTTATTTCCTTGTCAAATAGGTTAAAGGAGGGCAGGAAGAGGCTGATAAACACACCTGAGCTGTTCGGGCTGCATCAGCCGCAGCCGCAAAGAGGCTTTTGACCGAATGTCAAAAGAGATGTCTCTAAAATGCTTGTCGGGAAGTAATTCTTATTTTAAAAAACTCATTGCTTATGAATCCTGGCGCATTCTGGCAAATCAGAACGTGCAATGTCATGTCTTCCTCAGAAGACTCACCTTGTTCAGTATACCAAGATGTTTAAACTCTGTGAATGAGAATGTTCAAACTTCTTATGTGAGGTGAATATTAACATTACTGTAATGTGTATGAGTGTAAACAATGATTGACTTGTTAAATCAACACATAACAATCTGATGTAGACAACATCTGAAATGAATGGATCAAAGAACAATATTCATTTTAAATTCATTGGTTTAAGTACAGATTATTCAAACATTTGATTTAAACATCTTGTTCATTCATCACATATGATTATTTAAGCTGGTTATAAAGTTCAGAGTGAAGAATGTTGACGTCTGTCTTTTATGTAGAGACCTTTGCAGGAGACCTTGGGTGAGACGGTTTATGCCTTTGAGGAACAATAAGTGGACAAAGCGTTGTTTTGGGAGTCTGGGCCCCGACATATGGTGCAGCCTTGAATGTGGACGAACGGGTTATGTTGTGTCAATTAGATGGTGAAAATTGGACCCCTTGGATATGTAACACCTCATGCATGTCTATTTTTATTCTCAACGAATCTAAGTTTACACTCATTTTGAGTTTTGTTTGTGTAAAACCTGTAAAAATCCCCTGAGACCGGAGCCTGTTGTAAAGTCACACACACATTTTACTGAATTTAGCTTTAAATTATGTGAAGCTTAATGATATAAATCACATCCATGAAGTTAGCCCTAATTCACCTGCTCTTCTGAAGAGACCAAGGCCTTAGCCAGGAGATCTCCTTCCTTCCTGCTTTTATTTTTGGTTGATTACTTTCATTTTTAGAACATTAGTTTTAAACAATCACTTTTAAATTTAGATTTGACTATTCAGATAAAACGTTTCATATTAAGACTTGATTCTAAACACTCAGTGCTTTGCATTCAGACCGGACTCTATGTTTAAGCTGTCATTTGAGTTTTTATTCAAACATTCAGATGTAAAATTGTAATTTAAACAATTAAATTATTAAAATTGTCTTAACATTTTCACACCTTATTTTTCATCAACCAATTGTGACCAACCAAAGTGCGTAACACCCTCTAAAGTGGTGGAGAACGAGCGAGCCAAGCTCCTGTGGGACTTCTAGATCCAGACAGACAGAATGGTGACAACAGAGGGCAGCCATTGTGCCTGATGTTGCACCAAGCAATGGCAACAGCAGGAAAAAGGAATAGAAGCTATAAGAACCTGCGGCCTCATTCATCAAGCTGACTTACGCACAAAACGGGGTGGGAAAACTGCGTAAGCAACTTTCCACGCAAACTTTGGGATTTATGAAAGAAAACTTAGCGGAAAAATGTGCGCAACTTTAAGTTGACTAAGGACCTGGCGTACGCACATGCTGGACATGGAGAGCACCTGCAGTGCTGCTGCTGAGAAGATACAATTATGAACTCCTGCAGCATTATCACTTGTACCACTTCGTTTTCACACAGAACAAGACCTCCCACACGCACACACACGTGCGAGTACACACACACACACACACACACACACACACACACACACACGCACACACACACACGCACACACACACACAGAGACTGAAGCGCAGAATACGGAATGCAGAATATCAGCAGGGGGACAGATTGAGACAGAACGTCATGCGTCTGTGACAGTGTGTGTGTCCTGTCACTGTGACCTGATTGATCATGCGCCCTGGCTACTTATTCAAGGAAGATCTCCGTTTGGGTGACTGGTTAGCACGCGGATGACTTTCACCCTGGGAGTCTGGAAATCAAATCCCAATTGGACTATTCAGATCTCTCTGAAGAACTCACAACATTGACGGCTTCAGCAACGCTGTTCCACTCAGTGGATTTTCTCTTATTTGTTTTGCAAAAGCACTTCCTTTCATTTCTCCACCTCACCCACAGGTACCTCAACTTCTGCTTCTGTGAAATTGAGCTTCCTTGATCTGCCTTGCTCTACGGTCGTCATGTCATTGGCGGAGCGCTGCAACAGCCGGCTTATGTATATACATGAGATCCACAAGCCACTTTGCATTGACTATTTATGGCAGTAAGTGGGCGTGGTGAGGGTGGGATGTGACTAAAATGCAGCTGAGAACCTTTCTCGTTAGTCTCTGATTCATGAAGCAGAGATTGCATGCAGCTGTGCGTCCTCCATGTTTGATAGATCACAAACCTGCTTGGCGTCAGTAATTTTTTTGCTGAGCTTAAGTACGGTTTTAGTAAGGATTCTACGCCATGTTTGATAAATGAGACTCCTGGGCCTCAAAGAACTTGAGGAAATCTGGAGAGTGAACGCCTGTGCTTGTGGTTATTGGGGCACTCGGGGTAGTAAACCCCAGACTGGAGGAGCGGCTAAAGCAGATCCTGGGAAGAACTTCAGACATCTCAGTCCAGAAAAGTACAGTTCTAGGAACAGCTAGGATACAGCGCAGAACCCTCAAGCTCGCAGGCTTCTGGTAGAGGACCAGAGCTTGGAAAGATGACACCACCTGCGGAGGGTGAGATGGGATTTTTTTTAAATATAAGCATTTTAATGTTTTTAATTTTCCAAATTTGTAATTCTGTATTTTTTAAGTAATAATTGTTCCAACATGTCTTTAACTGAAGATGGGAAATTAAATGTACACCAAACCAAAACTTTTAATATTCAGAATTAGATGAGGATTATTTACAGTTTCTAGATTCTTGCTTAACTGAATCATGACTAATTATTTATAAATAGTCTACATGGAACAACGCTTTCTAATATATCACTGGTGACAAACTTTTATTTTGGGTTTTATTGTTGATGGACAACTAATGCTTCTATTTCTGACTTCAGTCAGATGAACGTTGGCATTGAGAATTTAAGGCCCATTATGGAAAACTGCCTCATTGTTGCCCAGAAACAAACCAAATGGTCTCCCTGTTTGACGACCAAGGAGCTAAGAATGATCCAAACACAGTAATACCAAACAGCTAAAGTTACTCGACACTAGACAATAATGACTCACCCTTTGTTGTCTGAAATATCATCTTACATTGCTGTTTTTTCTTCGACTGTTTCTGGTGAAATGTCATTCCCAACAGACACGGAGATAGAAAAGAAAAAAAAATACAGAAGGAGGAAGAAGAGAAGAGTTGGGTGAAAAAGTTCACACAAATAAAGTTGTACAAGGAATCTACTTTTAGACGTGCAGAAAGAAAACACACACACACAAAACCACAAAACCACGATACCACAGTGACAAACAACACGTGCGTATACAACAACAATGTCAATGAAAAGCACACAGTATAATTAATTCATGGTGCATTTAGTCCCAACCACCGCCCAAGGTAATGTGTCAAAAAACCTGAGAGAACACCTTGTGAACACCTGTGTGTGTGTGTGTGTGTGTGTGTGTATACGTGTATGTGTGCGTGTGTGTGTGTGTACACAAGCTTGAGTGTATAAGGTTTCTCTGTAGGAGTGTCCAGGAGGAGTGTGACATTGCTACTTTTGAATCGAAGGCAGTCAGCTACAAACACTCTAAAGGGAAAAGTTTGAGCCTATTCAGCTCTTCACTCACCAGGAATTCAGTTTTCATGGTTTTCAAAACAAAACTGTCATTCGGCTTCAAGATGATATCTTTTTTTCTGGTTGTTAAAGGCACACTTGGCAGTTTTGTTTGCTTTTAGCACCCCCTAGTGTCCATTATTAATTCTCTGTGGTTAAACCAAATATGAAACTTATCTCTTTGCTGTGCTTTAGTCTTTTAACACCTTAATCTAACTGCTGCAATGTCTCCTCAGCCTTCTTTGCTGTCTAAAGGACCGGTTCATCAGCTGTGTTCATGATCTAAAACATGCAGAAAACATGCTGTAAGCAGACTTCAGTGCCAGGTATTTCAGCTACATTTTGTTCAACAGGTGGCAGCCCACCACTCTGAAGTTGCAAGTGTGGTATTCTGGCCACAGAGGGTGCTGGGGACTGAGTGACATTTCATTAACTCTGTAAAGGGTCATTTTAGCACATACTAGCTCAAGAAAATGAGGAAATTTGCATAGTATCCTTTTAAAAACACAATTTTCTCCAAGTTACTTATAAAAACTACAGTTTCATCTTTTTTGCTACAAGGGGCGCCAAACTTACACATGAACATTTTACAGGAAAATATTGTTTGAAAGCACATTATCAGAAAGTTATGATTACTTTGGAGATGTGTTTCCTGCCACCTGATGGATCCTATTGTGTTACCTTTTTAGAAAGGTGTTACAGCTGTTTCATTTCCAGCAAACTACTTCAGTTGTTTACCCTTTCTGCTGCCAGAATGAGTCTTTCAGTTGGACCTAAAAGCTTTTTTCAGAGTAACAGCTTAATGGCTGCTTTCGGACAGAGAAGTTCTAATACTGAACCATCTCCTTATAATTTAGTTCTTATAACTATCGTTTCCAGAGGAAACCTTTCAGATTTCATTTGCACAGGAGTCAGGGGACCTTGATACAGACGCTATAAAGCCGCCAGCAACAATGACGTGTAAATTAAGCACTACAGTCGATGACGTTTCTTCATTTTTTTCCCTGCAGTGCTTCGCAGTGTGGTGATACCCAGCTTTTCTAGTTGTGTACTTTACATTACAGTGAGCCTTCGAAGCCGCTCTCAACATCTTCGGTCAAGTAGCCAGAACAGCTTTAATTTCCTCGTCAGACCACTTGTCACAGGTTTTGTCCATTTTGCTGTTGTGCTGTTATTTCGGCAACTGTAGTTGTTTAAAAATGGCGGGGCCTTAAGAAGCGGAAATCTAGCAAGGGACGTCATGGACGTAATTTTCACTTTAGAAGGGGGGGGGGGGGGGCGCAGGGGGGTGGGGGGGTGGATCTATACAGTATGTTCTAATGGGAAACAGGCTTCAACACAAACGGTTGTTTTCTGCTTGGTCCTAGAGCTCAACCAGTGTCAATTTAATATAGCGTAATATTGTTTTTGGATGGTAAAAAGTGCAGGGGTCCACACTTGACTTTGGAAAACGTGTGTGTGGGGGGGGGGGCATGTCCCCCCTGTCCCCCCCCAAAATTACATCCATGAGGGACGTAGCTTATGAGTTCATCAAACACCTCCGTCAAACGAGTTCTGATGGACCCATGAAAAGACCCTGCCCCAGAGCAGGAGCTGTAGGAACTGAGGGTCGTGGTCCCCGGTTCCCATCAGTCCCAGTGCACGGAAAAATGGCTCGGTTCTTGAAAAGGATACAGGAACTACAACATGTTCCTTCAGTCTGAAAGCAGCTAATGTTGGAATCGGTAAAGACACGGGAAGCTGAAATGCTCAGAGAACCGAGTGCTGTCTGCTGTAGGTCTCCAGCCGTGTCAGATGGGGTTCAGGAGGGTTTGTTCTTATCAAAAGGAAAAAAAATGCTATTTAACATTGCATTGGCACCGAGGAGCTCCGGTCAAAGATGAAATCTCTTTCCATTAATGTTTTAAATCTTATGTAAATCTTCATGTCTGACACCCTCCAGTCAAATTCTCACAATTTGCATGATTCAAGGCTGAATGCTTTCACATTCAAAACATTCTCTGGTTTCAGTTCTACAAGTAACAAGACAGTGAAGCAGAGTGACAATTAAAAGCTTCTTTAATCATTCATAAGTCCACATGTTCAAACAGCTTTAGAGCACTGCTACGCTCACTAGTTTTAGTTTTTTTCAGAAATATTCAGCAGGAGTCAGTGCTCTGTCCTCTGTACTAAAATGTGAAAACAAGTGAAGGATTACACTTCTTTTTAAACACCACATTGTTGTCCTTGTGTTCAGCGGCTGATGCAAATGTTTTCATGCAGACTTCAGGTCAGTCTTGGCAAATCAAGGACGAAAAAAATAAATTCACCACAACGAGTCAGAAAATAAAAGGTTTCCGCAAAGAATCCCCTGCCGAAGACTCATGTTGCATTACAGCTGCATCCAAACACTGAAGATTCCTGGGGAACGATCACAGATTAAACACCGGGGGTCTGTAGTGACCGGATGCTCTCTTCACCTTTGACTTCTTTCTGTTCTCCTTGGTGATGGGGATGAGGACCACACCCACCACAAAAACCATCAGCCCAATGGACAGCATGGCCGGTCCCAGGATGTTGGTGACCTTCTTGCAGTGGCCGGCGAAGTACAGGCCGCTGATGATGATGCCACAGGCCAGGAAGCTCCCTCCGGTGGACATGAAGTGAATGGGGAACCAGTAAACTTCACCCCTGCTGCGGGGCGTCTCCGTGGTCCAGACGGACTCCCGGGACAAGGTGAACACAGTGCTGGCTGTGTGGCTCGGGGGTGTCAGCTGATCCCGGGACTGGGAGAGCGTGCACTCCCCCAGGGGGATGTTCTCTGGGCTGCCTGGCATGACCTCCTGGCTGAGTCTGTGGAAGTCACGAGGAGCAAAATCAATCGGAGGGGAAAATGTTTCCAAAACAGAAAAACCAGACCAAAATCCAAACTCTCTGTTCAAAAATGAAAGACAATCATGCTGCATTTATTAGAATTTCTATGATGTGTAGTTTATTTCTAATTAACGGCCCTTAATAGCTAGTAAGTTAATAGTTAATAATAATATAAGTTAATAGCTTTTGGGTTGAACATGTGACGTCATGTCTAATGCACAGATATTGTTTCCAGAAATGTTTTTCACCTTTAGGTGTTTAATAATTTAAACTAATTGATGAAAAATAACAATAATTAAACATTTTTTTATTTTCAGTGGGTACCTTTTGTCTCTCATGTTTCTGTTTTTTCCAGTTAAAACACATTTTAGTGAGTTTTGTTCAACATGACAGAATGAAACAGAAAACGAGCAGCTGTCCTACCCTACAGTGAATTACACCATTATGACTCAAGTGGCTTGACACACACTTCACATTAAAGTGAAAGTTCCCTCATCACACACTCGTGAAATTCATCTCCGGATTTGACCCATCCCTGTGGGGAGCGGCGAGCAGCTGTGACTGCGCTCAGAAGCTTCTCGGTAGTTTAACGGATAATTATTAAACATTATCTTTCCATAAAAAACAGCAACAAGTTTACTTGATTTTAGAGATTAAACAACAAAAAGTGTGTGAGACAGGAATTAAGACATTACAGAATGATATTAGAAATTAAATTTTTGGTGAAGATAAAAATTTTTCCATATAAAGTTATTTAGTTATTTAATTTCGACAGAGATAACTCTGGATAACCCAGCCTTTTAGATGGAGGCATGTTGGAGGCAGGGCAAGGGAGAGCCGTCTTTACCGACTGTACACTCCACCTCCCTCTACTCCCCCACTTGTCCAGATCTAGGCTAACATCAGATTTTAACCATAGGCCCTATCAAGCTTTATGCTTGCTTAGTATGAGGATTGCTGTATAGTCACTGACACTAGTCAGTGACTTGATGCAATTTGCTGGGTTCCTTATATAGGAAACATTATTTCTGATTGGCTTAATGAACTGACCTGAATTGGAATGTTTATTATGTGAAGTGCCTTGAGACGACTCTTGTCGTGATTTGACGCTTTATAAATAAACTTGAATTGAATTGAATAAAAATGTTTTAAGCCTAGTCTTAAAAGTAGACAAGGTGTCTGCCTCACAGACTAAAGATGGAAGCTGTTCCACAGGAGGGGAGCCTGATAGCTAAAAGATCTGCCTCCCATCCTATTTTCAGATATTCTGGCAACCACCAGTAAACCTGCAGTCTGAGAGCGAAGTGCTCGGTTAGGAACGTGTGGAACAATCAGATTATAACCATTTTTTTAAAAGTGATAATAATTTAGATTACTTTAAATGGTAAATGGCCTGTATTTGATATAGCGCCTTCTAGAGTCCTGGAACCCCCCAAGGCGCTTTACAACACAACCAGTCATTCACCCATTCACACACACATTCACACACTGGTGGGGATGAGCTACGATGTAGCCACAGCTGCCCTGGGGCACGCTGACAGAGGCGAGGCTGCCGAGCACTGGCGCCACCGGTCCCTCCGACCACAACCAGCAGGCAACGTGGGTTAAGTGTCTTACCCAAGGACACAACGACAGTGACAGACTGAGCGGGGCTCGAACCTGCAACCTTCTGATGGCGGGGCGAGCACTTAACTCCTGTGCCACCGTCGCCCCCTTCTTTGCCCCAAAAATAATAACAAAATGGAAACATATTCTCTGATTACTTTTTTCTTGGCATGGAAGTTAACAGGGTAAAAAGTTTTCTTTTGTTAAAAGGAATTCAAAAAGAAACACATTTAGGGGACAAAAATAAGATGTCGTGACCTAAACTAGCATTTATTAGGTCAAATAATTTAAAAACAATTAAGTGTTGTTTAACGTAAAGCCAGTTTGAATTCTTGACTTGAAAACGTCTCTCAACAGAAACTTGATCCAGAGCAGCAGCTAGTATCTTCGGATCTGTTTACATTTAGCGTTAACTGTTTTGTTCTCAGGTCTGTAACCTGTGGCTCTGGGGCCAAATGTGGCTCTTCAGTCCTTTTAAATATGACCCAAGATGATTTCCATCCAAGGTTAGTCTTAGCAGTTTTCCCGTCCAAATATTTAGCGACACAAATAACTCAAAAGGCACCATGATGAAATCACTTCTTCTTTAACACAGACATGTCTCACTTGTTTGTCAGTAGTCGGCTCTTTTGACTGACATATTTTCATGGTTCTAAACAGAAAGTCTTTAAAATAGTTTCCTCTATTTTTGCCCAAATCATAAAAATAAAACTAAAAAAAGTCACGACAGCACAAATGTTTTTACATTTTGCTTCACAGAGCTCTATAAAGATGCTGCTCTACTTGTTGATGCCAGAACCTCCAGGAGCAGACCTGGGGACAGCAGGTCCTGCTGATCTGGAATCAGCCTTCTGTGTGGACGCAGGTGCTTTTCAGTCCGATCAGAGCTAAAATAAAACTAAGCTCTTAACAAAAGAATGCACTTGGTATTTTATGCTGTTAAACTTTTTGATTTTTTATGTTTTTATGGATTTGCCTGTTTTGTCTTTAAACATTTTTAAAAATGTAAATCACTTTTTAAATAATAAACAATAACAACAGTCTCTATTACTCTAAATAATTGCTAACTTATAAACTGTATTTTTAACAAAACATAAAAAAGTAGCTTTACAATGACGACTTTTGCGTTTTCATTCCTTTCAGTAACTTGAGTTTCACTTGTGCTTGAAAAAATCTTATACAGAAAAGATGAATTGAAAATATTAGAATTTCCAGTTGGAAAAACACCAAATTATACTTTAGTTTGTACAGAGCAGCAGTAGCTCAGGAGGTAGGGCGGATTGCCCAGTAAACGGAAGGTTGTCGGTTAGATCCCGGCTCCTGCCAGAGAATGCTGCTGTTGTGTCCTTGGGCAAGACACTTACCCACCTTGCCTGCTGGTGGTGGTCGGAGGGACCAGTGGCACCAGCGTATGGCAGGCCTCGCCTCCATCAGTGTGCCCCAGTGCACCTGTGGCTACATCATAGCTCATCCCCCCAGCACGTGAATGGGTGTGTGTTAATGGGTGAATGAATGACTGATTGCATTGTGAAGCACCTTGGGGGGTTGTAGAGCCCCAGAATGTGCCACACAAATGCAAGCCCTTTACTATTTATCATATGGGGCGACGGTGGCACAGGAGTTAAGTGCTCGCCTCGCAATCGGAAGGTCGCAGGTTCGAGACCCACTCAGTCTGTCGCTGTCGTTGTGTCCTTGGGCTGGTGGTGGTCGGAGGGACCGGTGGCGCCAGTGCTCGGCAGCCTCGCCTCTGTCAGTGCGCCCCACGGCAGCTGTGGCTACATTGTAGCTCATCCCCACGTGTGTGTGAATGGGTGAATGACTGATTGTGTTGTAAAGCGCCTTGGGGGGTTCCAGGACTCTAGAAGGCGCTATATCAAATACAGGCCATTTACCATATTTAAAGTGCAGAAATGTTGTGACATTTGGGTCAATGTTAATCAGATTTGTTTTCTATAATTTAGTGACAAAGTACATTAATAATCATCAGGTCTGAGTTTTCTCCCTCAGCCGTAGCCCTTTGAGTCGCTGTCTGAGGGTCTTTGGGGTCATTATTTCTTGCAGAGAACCTAAACATGGCTTCTCTCCTCAGAACAACTTCAAGTCCAGTTTTAAATAAGTTCTCAAAGGGACTGGAAGCACATAACAGATCAACTCTGGCATCTTTCCTGATTCATTTTATGGCAGATTGTTGTATTTAAATAATGTTTCCTCTGGGAAAAAAAAGATTTGGGAATTTCTATAAATCTAACCTTCATGTCAAATTGTTAACACCCATCATATAAATATTTACATATTTTCCATTTTTTTTTTTACTTTAACTGGACTTTCTGTCAGTAAAACTGGGCCCCATGCAGACTGAAGAAGACATCTGAGTAGAAGTTGTGCATATGTTCTCAGAGAGAGAGACCGACAGATCACTTACTGGCTCCAGTCAAAGCAACGGAACCAGCTTGAAATGTGAGTCTACAAATCAATAACATGACATCATGCTGCTTCTGCAGCGTCAGATTTCCGGCTGCAGAGCTCCATCCTGTCTCAGCTCCCTCCTGCACACTCCGGTCCGGGTGTCTTAAACCCAAGTTTGTGGGGTGTTTGCTTTCCGTGGGGCACTTTTATAATTCCCGTTGACTCTTTCCAGGTGGCTGTGTTAAGAAAACCCCTCAATCATCAGAGGATTGCTTCGGTCTGAAAAGCTATTTTACAATCCCCATTCCTCTAAAATCCTCGTTGAGCAAAGCTTTATTTGTATTAGGAGGTTATTTAACAATTATTAACACTTTTGTTGATGCTTTTAAGTAACACCCTCATTAAAAAAAATAGCTAAAGTGTTAGTATCTGAACAGCTGTCAAACCTCGACCAGAGGTAAATAAAAATATAATTATTAAACCTTTTTAAAAACTGTGCAAGTCCCACTTCCTAAACACATGCATGTGTGTGTTTTCTATCTGATCCTAGCTGAGCCTGGCAGACAGAAGTAAACAAACACCTACCGTTAAATCTGGACCAAAACCTCCTGGTTTGTGTTTTGAATTCACATAAAGACACAAAAACGCTCCTAAAACTGAGGAAGAGGAGGAGAGCTTCTGCCCACCATCCGGCCAGAGAAACCAGTAAGAGCCAGCACTGAACACCACCCTTCTGAGCTTTTCTCCACCTCCTCCAGAAAACCCTGTGATCACCATCATCTCACAGGCGGTCTGTCCCGATGTTGCATCCAGGCAGGAATTTCACTTTCCAGTCCCCAGAGGATTTCCATCGAACCTCCCATCACCACCCCACCTCAACGCCACTCAGACCCACATCTCTGAAACTGCCACCACACTCTTCTAAGTGTTTGGGTGTTGTCCTTCCGGCCGCCTCGGCTGACCGGAGCTGGTTCTGCACAGAACAGGGACCAGGAAATGGCCCTCTGCTAGACCCAGATTGATGGAATCAGCCACACACAACACGTTGGCGCTACATTGATCCCACAGTGCCCCACAGCAATCATCTGAACTTGTAGTGTTGTTGGTTGAACATGACATCAATTAGATGATTGTAGTAAGAGTGACCCTCAGAGAAATGTTCTCCTTCAGTCACATGAGAGGAGGAACGAGAGTCATAATAAACCCTCGTAACTTCACACTTGTGTTGTGTCAGCTGCACACACACCACACAGGTCTCTGATCTGAACATGAGCCCAAAATTAAACCTAAATCTATTCTAACGAGGGTGTAAGTGATGTAAGAAATAAACCTTAAACACGAAAACTGGAAGTCCATCTGATGAGCATCAGCCCTAAACCTGTGATGAGCTTCATTATCCAGCAGAGGGCAGTATAATCACGTGGTCTGACGCAAGAACAGGTCCGTGTTTTTATTTATTTATTTATTATTATTATTTTTTTTACATGCAAAGAGATTGAAGTCCCATTCTAGAGTGGTTGACTAAACTGATAAATACTGTTTCAGATGTAATAATTCACAATTTATTCAATCGTGTTAAGGCTTGAGTACATTCATGGACGTAATTTTCACTTTAGAAGTGGGGGGGGGGGGGACACGGGGGGGGGGGGGGGGGGGGGTCTTTACAGTATGTTCTAATGGGAAACAGGCTTCTACACAAACAGTTGTTTTCTGCTTGGCCCTAGAGCTCAACCAGTGTCAATTTAATATAGGTAATATTGTTTTTGGATGGTAAAAAGTGCAGGGGTCAAACCTTGACTTTGGAAAAAGTAAATTACGTCCATGAGTACATTTGAGACGCCGTGTCAGCGTTCAGGATGCCCAAGACTCATGTTCAGACACAAGTTAGAAGGAATGATGCAAAGGATGTTAAGTTTTAACTTTATTGTTACATGTAACAATGACGAGTAGACAAAGTGCATTTAAATGTCTTCATCTTGTAACATAAAAGAAAATTAACAAGGAAAATAAATAGAAACAATTAATAAGATTGAAATTAGATTAAATATAGAATAAAAGGTGTAGAATGACACTGGTTGGTTTTAATAGCAGCAACTGGAAATAAAATAATAACAAAGCAAACCATTAAAGCTGCTTGGGTCCAGAGGGTGTGGTTTTAGATAGGACAGTAAATCCACAGCCATGCCTGTGAGCTCAGCTCCAGATCAAGACCCTCATTACTGCAGATGAAGCTCTCATTCAATGGTCAGTCTCTCCTCCATCCTACCATCACTCAGGAGCCAAACAGCACAATATTCAATCTCCTCTTGGATAGGAGACTCACCCCAACCAGGAAGGAACTTTACGCATGTATCCCTACTGAGTACCAGGACCGCCGGCTCTCATCCTCACAGTGAACTGTTACACACTGAAGACCATGGATCCAGGAAGGTTAAGGATAGAATATTTAAAAAGGTAAATGGCCTGTATTTGTATGGTGACTTCTAGGGGTCTACAACCCCCCAAGACGCTGGTGATGCTTGAATGCAAGCCGGGGTTTGGTCTGTGAGGATGGTGTTACATATTTTCACATTTCCTGTCTAACAGATTACTTTTTAAAAAGGACACATGAAATATTTAAGTTTATCCATCAATGTTCACTTTTCATCTAAATTATTGTGTGATGTTAAAGTTCCTTTTGTTGCTTCCTGGCCTTCTCAAGCCAAACATAGATGTGGTCGCATCACTACTTCTCTTAAAAAGATAATGAAAAAGTTTCCAGAAATTACACGAACTGACAGATGTTGATGGTAACTCTACAGTAAATATGCAGAAGTGAGAGCATTGTGGCTTTGCTTTCCCAGTATGGAGATGAATGTGTTTTTTTCTTTACACATCTGAATGTGTTCTGATCTTTTATAGACTCAATTGTTACATTAGAGTTCTGTTTCTGTGTTTGATTAACCATGTCTGCCTGATGTAAACTATTTTCAGATGCCAAGCACATTTTTTTGGTGTCTAGAAGTTAAAACTTGAGTAAATCTGCCCGGTGAGGAGAAATCCAGGTGTAACTTTAATCCTGTCTGATGATACAGGTGGAGAGTTTCCAGGGATTAGACCTAATAAGCCCGGCTTTGATTCAGGATGCTGAGTTTGTTGGTTTTAGGCCGAGATTCAAATGAACTCTGTGTGTGAAGGAGCGGTGGGAACTCTTTCTCTCTCTCTCTCTCGCCGGTTAAAGCCACCAGAACTAAGTTGCTCTAGCAACTCCCACCCTCGCTGGTTTTTTAAGGCCGTGGATTAAAGAGGAATACTTTTTTGGCCAAATGAAGCCTCACACAGAGCCTCGTTAGCTCCAGAGAAAATATCAATAAAACCTTTGCAGCAGCTCATCTGGAGACATTTCAGCTAATATGCTGTTGATTTATTGACAGACGGAGCAACTGACCTTGGGAAACTGATTAATCTACTTTGCATATTTGCAGCTTTTTGTTGAGTAAAGTCGGAGGAGCAGATATGCAAGTAACTGTAGCAGAAAGCTTCATCGCCTTCGTTAATTTGGGTGACGGGATGTTTGCACTTCTCACAGTTATACCACATGCAACCTTTAAAAAGACGTTGTCGTACGATTCTTTCATCATGAAGCATTTATCTTCTGTATTTCATGTACAATATACATCTATGTGTAGTAATACATATTACACCCTGTGCTTAAGGATTTACTTGCAGGGTAATAATTACCTGGTACTTACAAGGATAAGTACAATGTTTATGGGTACCATGTTTATAAGAATGTTTACAGGTACCAGGTAACAAGTCACTCCATATAAAGCCCGGTCCTTGTATGGAGCAACTGACCTTGGGAAATTATTACAATATTATGTACCAGTATGGTTTCCAAACATGTGTCTTCAGATGTTGCCCGTTCATTTACTTGTCTTGTTAGGTCATCATAATCTGGAACAAGGAAATCTGAAAAAACAAAAACAAGTTGAATGTGATCAGATTTTACCCTGCAAACAGTCAACGTCGCATGGACGTGCAGATCATGTTGAGGACATCCAAACTAGGTTTTTGCGCAGTGGGTAGGTTTTAATCATTAGTAATAACTAAATGTGCTCTATGCTCTATGTTTTTTTATCACCACGGAGGTCTTCCCAACAAGGTAACAATCTGTCCTTTGTGTTTCTTTATCTGCTCACTGACCCTCGTGCAGCTGAAACAGCTATGGATGCCTTATTGGGCCACTAAAGAGCAGATTACAGCATTTTTTTAAAGGACTTGATGTCGTTACCTTCAGTTTCCCCAGGAAACAGATATAAGCCTCAGCAGTAACAATGTTGGTAACACTTCACATTATGGGTCCCTTTAATAACCTTACTTAGTGCATCAATAATAAACTATTAAATAAAATAATCACAACTGTTTAATGCATTACAAAGCAGGCACTTCGCCTTCTGACCCTTTGTCCTAACCTTAAAGTGACAGTGTGTGGTTTCCTGGCTCCGGGGGGCAGTACATACATTTCAGGGTAGTTTTACACCACATCTTTGTGACTGTCGCTAGTTTAAAAAACATTACGATAAATGTTGTTACCTGTGCAGCAGAAAGCATGCGACCTCGGAGTGACTCCTCGGACTTTGATGGTCCTTCAGTTAATTCCATCGAGAGAATGCAATGATGACGCTAGTTTTCTGGCGCTGTAGTTTCTGGATCTGCTCGGGGTCCTGCGCCTGTCAATGACGCCATCGAGCTACGGCAATACCACTAGGCAAAAAATATTGCATCTCTTTTGACGATGCGTGACCAAGCGTTTGTTTCCTACGTGTTGGGAGCCCCAGCGCATCGGGAGGCGACGTGCTGTGACAGAGGGTCGTTTTTCGACTGCCGCGGTAAAACGGAGATTTCACCGAATTGTGACCTTTACCCTCTTGTGCATGCAACACTTTGTTTCTAGTTGTAGCGTCCCTCTCCAACACGGTTAACGGGAAGTTTAGAATGAGAAACTGGGTTAGGATGTGGGTGAGGGGAAGGTTAAATAGCAAGAGGTTAGAGGTTAAATGTCGGTGAAATGTGCGTTTTACCACAGGCAAACCAACGCTCTGGCACAGCGAGTCGCCTCCCGACAAACGCCTGATCACCCATCGTCATTTGTTCGATGGTTCGGCTGTGAGAATGTGTTGTTTACTCATTATCAACAACATTTCAATGGACATTTCCAGGGGTTATCGGTAAAACTACACATTGTCTCTTTAAAGACACTTAATACCAGGGGCGTTTTGTTCATTGATGCTTAATAGCACTAAATACTATTAATAAAGGGACCCTGATGTTTACTGATAAGTACATTTAAAGATTAACCTAAAAAACTTGAAATTTTGAAAATATTGAAAAGACAACAAACGTCGTGGATCTCAAAAAAATGTCTTTTTCATTTATGTGAGTCAAAGATTTGGAAGTAAAATACTACAAAGTAACATCTTACTAGCCAACATTGACTTTTAGATGTATAACCAAGGCCCGTTTCACGAAACAATCCACCTATCTGACTGCATATCTGCTCTTTCAGCAGCGGTGTCCTGTGAGGGTGTGAGCAGTCATTAATCAAACTGATATCCACATAGCAAAGTATAGGGGTAGACGCCATCTTTGTTGACTCAGAGTCAAACATCGTATCATTCCTTTGAAAACAAGGAAGATGAACCTTGATATCACACCAATTTGCCATTGTCTCTTTAATGAAAAATCATCCAAACAAAGCTTTGTCCTTCTCTTCTCCTTGGAGATTAAGAGGTTCCAGTTTCTGTGGAGTGAGGTCATTTTTGAAGAGTTTAACAAACTTTTTCACAAATCAAAATCCTCTTAGATGAAAAACAATTCTGCTTGTTGAAGAGACTAATCTAACACACACACACACACACACACACACACACACACACACA